AAACTGCCCTTATGTCTCAGTAGCAATGCTGATTTGGCCGAGTTGATGACCATACCATGGGCCGCAAGGGCATCGAGGATCTTACTAAAGCGATACACCATGTCGTCCAGCTCACGAGTGTTCTGCACAGTATCCTTGAGGTGTATATCATCAGCATAAATCGTGGAGCATTGCTCTAGCCAAGGTGCTGTGAGAAGCGGGTCCCCCTCAGCAAGGATCTCACGATATATCTGTGCTAGGGCGAGTGTCCAGAGCAACGGAGCCAGTTTACACCCTTGTCTAAGTCCTCTTTGGGCCTCCACCTTGGCAGTGTGCCCAAGGTGAGTAAGGACATAGGAGATTTCAGAGTGCCAGGACATGATTTGGTGTCTGAGCTCAGCCGGAACATCGGACGCTAGTAAAGCCTTGTCCAGCAGGCGCCAGTCCATGAGGTCAAAAGCACTGGACAGGTCCAGCGATAGTTGTGCACCTGCAAAGTGTGGGCAGGGTTTCGGCTGTTGTGCGTGACGATCAACAACCGTAGGTGTTGAAATCGAGCAGCGATCCTGAACATATTTGCAGTGTGCAGCAACCCGATGTATGGCTTGGGCAGCATTGCGACCCGGCAGATATGCAAATTGTGCCTGGTCTGCAAGGAATCTCTCGGCGTAGGGGCGCAATTTCGCCTGCAGTATGGAAGCATATGCACGGCCACTGGATTCAGTTAACCCTATAGGTCTGAGATTCTTTGGTGAAAGTGGTCGCGGAATCTTGGGAACAAGAGTCAACCATGCGCTTCTCCAAAGCTCTGGTATTTGAGGCCATTGCCGGCACCATTGGCACAAGAGAGGCGCAACAAGGTCCGAGGTCAGCCTCCATAGAGAGTTTGTGGCTAAGTTCGGAGGTGTAGCTTTATGTGGTGACAATTGCGAAAGCGCCAGGGTCATTTCGGCCTCCGTGACTTCAATGTGAATGGGCTGTCGCTGGGGGCCCTGTATGCTGCCATCCTCGTCCGCAGCATACAATTTGCGATAGTGCGTTTCCAGCTGTTTTAGCTGGGTCTTGGGATCCTGCAGGTGTCCGCCAGAATCTCGCAGTTGAACCTTCGGCTTGGAGGATTTGGGAGCTAAGGTACGAATGCCAGCATATAGCTTGCGAGAGTCGCCTGAACTGGCAGCAGTCTGGAGTTCCTGTAGCCTGCCATGGAACCAGTGCTTTTTGGCTTCTTTCCCGGCACGACGAAAGGCCTTGTGTGCCGTCTTGAAGTGATGGTAGCACCTGGAAACATAGAGCGGATTATGCTGAGCTTGAGCTTTGGCTGTCTTCCAGACTCGGTAGGCCTGCCACATGGAGCGAATACCATCCTGCATAGGCGGTGTTTGCCATAGTGCCAGCCGATGCTGTCCTGCGGGTGGCGGGAAGAATTGGGAGGCACAGTGGATCAGAGTTTCATGCAATTGCCCAAGATCATGAACCCCTGGTAGGGACGCCTGGACAGCAGAGCGTAGACTTTGAACTCTCGGATCCCAGGTAGAGCGGCAAACCTGAATCAGGCCCCAATGGTCCCATGCCCGTTGTGGTGCCACCGGTTTGTTAAGAGTGTGGAAACGCTGAAGCGGGATGCTGGCCTTCAGTGGCAGGTGATATCCACCAAGTCTCCAGGCAGCCAGTCCCAGGCGGAGCGGTCTCGCCTGCCTAGCACGATCATCCGCTTGGCTGGAACGCATGATGATATGATCAATAAGGCTAGCACCTTTGTTGTGATGGTATGTAGGGCCAGCCGCTTTGCACCATGAGTTGAGGTGTAAGAGGGAGAAGTCCTCAACAAGGTGCTGCAACCTTGCCTGGTCAGGCGGATGTGTGCTCGTGCTGGTGCCTGAACAGATCCTGGTGCCGGCTGCAGCACACGGCTTGATCTGAGTATTAAAATCTCCAAGCATGATCACTGTGTTTCGGGCAGGCAGAGCTGCCAGGATCTTGCCAATGCACTCCCAGACAGCTAAACGTATGGTTTTCGAGGATTGCAGTGCGAGCGGATGAGAGTTGTGCGGCTTTTGATAGATGTGCAGCAGGTCAACTGCCCATTTGTCGTGGAGTATCCTCAAGTGTTGCACCCTGCCCGGTTGAGGGTCGGCGTAAACAATTCTGCAGTTGCGGGTAGTATTCTTATTGAGAAGAATCAGGAGTCCAGCAGATTTGTTGTCTGTGGTTGGGGAGGTGTACACATCCCAGGTAGCAGTGGGGAATGTTGGCGCCACCTTGTCCGTCCAATGTGTTTCTTGTACACACACGATTTGGGGTCGTTCGTCAGGTGGCATGTTTTCAAGTGTCAGCAAGAATTCCTGCCACAGGGCGTGGGACAAGCCTCCAGCATTCCATGAGAGGAACAGCAGGCGTCCCTGGGAGACTTTCAGAGCGGCCTGCTGCATGCGACGCTCAGCCTGAGGGGCGGGTCGATGGCCCCGATAGCCCTTGCAGAGCTGTTGCAGGGTACAGACACGACCTCGATAAATCGTATGCTGGGCCTCGTCCTGTGCAGCACGACGTAGGGCACGTTTGTAGGATCTCTTCCTGGCAAATGTGTACGCATTTGAATGGACGGTAGCCTGATTGAGGGTCGCTGAGTGATGTGCAACTGTAGGATGCAGGGGGTGTGCAGATGGCACTCCCCAGATCGACCTTGGTAGTGCAAACAAAGTCGAGAGGAACAGGATGGGGCGAGGGCATTGCCTGGGGTACGGCGTCGTGCCCGGGGTCTGGCTGGGGCAATGCGTAGTCGACGGAGGGCAAGACCTGTCAGCAGTGTGGGTTGGTCGAGTGGCAGGTGTGAGTGTTTGTACTCCAGGGAGAGGCCTCCGAGAGCGAGAAAGGCCAGGAGAGGTAAGATGTAGAAGTGCTGGAGCCCGGATGGCAACAAGGCGAACAGGGAGACCCTGTTTGTAGAGGAATAAGTACCGGGGCTTGGACTGCAGTGGAGCATATCCTAGCAGCAGCTTGTCCAGGCTGTTTGGCACTCCACAGGGGCCTGCAGTCTGATCACCCGGACCAGCCCACGATGAACAGATGACTGAAAACGGAGTGGAGGTCAGGCTAGGAGAGCAGGCGATGCCTAGAGTGACTCCTAGGTCAAAGCAAGTAGTGTGGTTTTGTGGGGGGTCTCGCAAGACTGCCCTCACCGCAGAGTGTAGTTCATTGGGCTCCTGCCACGGCTTCCCGTCCCCCACCACGAAGGTGAGTTTCGGTCTCGTGAGCGGGTGGCAGCCGCTCACAACCCTCGCCCCTACCGACTGTTCGGAGGCTAGATGGACAACCAGCGGGTGTCTGAGAGATAACAGGTTGTCAGCCGTATGAAAAAGTCGGTCTCCGGAATTGGGACCGGAGTGGCTCAGGGCAGGTATGTTGAGATTATGAGAGAGGCACTTCGGGATGCCAGTTGTCCATGTTGTCAAAAATGCTGGCATCGACTTCGGAGGACGGTGCAGCAGATCGTCTACACATCTAATCCATAGTGTGCAGATCCAGGGCCGGAGGGGAAACCTTGGGTTGCAACGCCTCGGCAGAAGCAGACTCACAGGATCTGATCTTGTTGGTCTGCGAGGTGCTAGTTTGTTGCATGCGGGTGGCATAGGGGGTGCTTCTACGATATTCAAGCCGACACCACTCACAGCATGGGTCCGCCAGACGATAGGCCAGCCACGTGCCCGGGATGTCCTGCACAAATTGGACAGGAACATATCTCGAGGTGATGTCTGCTCGATCCACTGGCCTGCGCCCAATGGCGAAGACAGACCTGAAGGCAGGCTAAGGGAACCGCGAGATGGGGTTAGCAGCTGCTTGGGGGCGACAGTCTCAAGATCTGAGAGCCCGTCGGGTTGCAGACCAGCTCCTGGTGGTGGAGGTGGGCACCGGACCGAAGCAGGTCCAGCAGCAGATGGTCTGGTGTGTCGAAGGCACACCAGGCAATGTTCAGGTCTGTCAGTCAGGAAAGCGTCTGGCCACCCCTGCCAGGTGCAATGGCTGGAGCAATCATCACGAGAGCAATAGGCATGCAACAGAGTAGGACCTGTTGCCAGTGCAGCTGACATACCTCGAGGCACGACACAGCGATAGTGAGCACGGTGTGGGGAGGCACCGCAGTGCCATGTGAGCCCGACTGGCATTGTCGTAGATGTGCACACTGGACGTTCAAGGCCTGGAAGGGTACATGGAAAAGAGCTCAGGTGCCTTTCAAACCCCCAGCAGATTAACGAAGGGACCTGCAAGGAGTCGGGCGTGCCATCGGGCATCCGGCAGGTCGGAAGATACAAGCCTGATGGCCCCAAGTGTTGCAGGCAGTGACTGGTGGAAGGAGCAACGAAGGTTTGTGAGCAGGGAACCCACCTAGGTGGCTGCCCGAACCTAGGTGCAGAGGTCTGCAACTCCGAGCACTCAGTAAAGCGATCCCTGCCTGTGTCATCCTGGTTTGACGAAGCCGCCAGTAGGCTAGACCTTAGAGGAGCGAAGACATGAAGCTTGCCCGATTGATGGGAGGGGGGCATGTGTGTCTTCAGGCAAGACTGGCTATGCCGATGCAGACGTGGACATGATGAACAGCAGGCTGGATCCTTGTATGCTGCACTGGATGAGGCCGCTGAGTCCGAGTGAAGTCCAGCGGCTCTATTGGCCTGGAAGATTTCTTCCATTTTCTTGGCCATCTTCTTGCGGACACGTTCTTGGTGCCTCGCAGCTTTGGTCATCCCAGTGCCACGGCCTTTGGCTGCAGTGGAGGAGGTCGTAAGTGGTTGATCAGCCGGATTGTCCGTGACATCAAACCAAATCGATCGTCTCGGCTTGGGCCGTGTCTGCATCCTCCTTGGTTTCGGAGAGGAAGCATCAGATCGAACCCGTTTGGGTCCTCGTTGAGGTGGATCTGATGGGTCGGCCAAGGTAGCAGCCGAAACCGTGGTCGGAGCATTGGGAGTCTCCGAGCTATGTGCTGTAGCCGATCGAAGGACGAGATCTCCTGCCTGTATGGTGAGCTTCGCTTGTGCAGGTGTGCAGTCCTTCTCTAGTTCAGAAGGGATGTGTGGCAGGCGACCACGTGCTTTGGGTGTCGGCTTGAGTCGGCCTTTGTCGTCGATCGCCGGGTCAGACCGCGAACTGGAGCTGGGCAAAGGTCTGGAGGAGGCAGAAAGTGCCGCGAAGTCCACAGCCTGTATCAAAGCACTGCTTCGTCGCTTGGACTCTGTGAGGCAAGGGTTGGCCTCACGGGCGGGCGTCCATGTGGCCTGCACAGCAGTTCCCTCAGGCAGCATGTTCTCGGAGCGCACTGAGAGCCAGAGGGCCACCAGCTCCACCGACTCAGCACTTTGTATAACCTGATCAGTACGCTTGCCATGTTTGTTGCTCCCCGAGGGAGCATACACCACCTCCCACTTGGCAGCCCAAAAGAGACCATCTCCACATAGTGGTATCCATCGCATGTAGTTCTCCACCTTGTGTTGCAGGCTGTCGCGGTGCAGATACACCCCTGGACAGCCTGCCAGGAATCTGTCGCCTTTCGACTCGTCAGTGCTCGGGAGAAGTTGGCCATGGTAGATGATGGAGTATAGTGCCTCCATCTTACATCCGTGCCAGCCCCTTAGCCAGCCATCCTGACACAGCAGCTCGCAGTGCGATGGATCCAGTGGTGTCCACGGGAGCCTCCACCAACCATCAGGTTGCGGGACTGGGTCCCCAAGTAGGGTGGCAAGAGGTGTGCCAGTGGGGCCTTGCCGTGTCCTGAAGAAGCTCTGCAGAAACCTTTCCACATCCAGGGTACAAGCAGGAGCACTCGGCGGTTGGGGCAGCTGTGTCCTGGCCTTGGTCCCCCAGATCAGTACCCGATCTGGAGAGGCAGGTAAAGCATGATCGGCCAGGTTCCATTCAGAAGGGCCACCAGAAGATTGAGGATCAAAGGCCGGAGCGGGCTTCCTCTCTGTAGTAGGTGTCCCTGTAGCTGTGGCAGAAGCTGACGACTGGGTCGTAGAGCTCGTGGTGTTCTGCTGAGCATCGCTGGTGGGATGCTTTCGCATCCTCTTGGGAGGAGGCGGACTAGGAGTACGAGGTTGTGGTATCGCAGTCTTGCCTCGCCTGGGCTTGGTGGGCCCAGTCTCCTCTTCCCTCGGAAGAACCAGGGCAGGCCGAGGTTTGCGCCAGGTCACCTGCTTTGTCCCCGGGTGATAGTAGTAGGGCCGATCGCTAGCTTGGTCAACGTGTTTTTCCCAGGGTGCCTCAAGCGTAGCATCGTCCACCGGGGGATGGATATAGTGGCCAGCTGGATTCCGTTTGGGTGCCGCCGGAGGCACCATGGTCTCCAGGGCCTGATAGCCGAGGAGGTATCGGGCGCTGTAAATGGTTAATGGTGGGGGAGCACATCTCCACCTCAGACTCGGCTCCATTCCATCACACATGGAAGCTTGTGTGGCTTCCAACCCCAGTCGGGGAGCGAGGTGCTCCTTGTCGATTGTAAAAATACGACGTTGTTCATCCCGAGGGCCTTGTATGATCCGCACATTACGCGTAGTGTTGCGGTCACACTCCAAGGTAGGGAGCACAATCCCTCGGCGACCGACGAGATGACGTCTGTGACCGTCGATCACCTCCACTTCGGTCCCCACTGTAAGCGGGACGAGTGCTGCCTGCCACTGTGGCCGGTCAGGCTCGGAGGCAGGCTCCATGATCCCTCGAAGGGCACAGGTGGGGCTCGTTAAGACAGGATAGTCCCTTGACTTAAGAAGTTGAGGGGATGATACCTGCAAGTATTCGGCGAGAGGTCTCCCAGCCCTAAGGGAAGCAAGGTGGTCAGAAGTAGTGGCAGTCAACTGTAGGACCACATGCTCTACCAAAGTCATCAATGTGGCTTGGTTTGTGGAAAGCTGCAGGCACACGCGATAACCACATGGTGGGGCTGCAGAATGCATGCAAGAGCACGGCAGAGTCTCATGTTGGCTGGTCACGGATTGCAGCTGCAGGACTGAGATCCAAGCCCCGTAGTGGGCAGGGAGAGCACCAAAGTGGACGTCTCGAGGGACCTGAGACCTGTGGCGAGCAGCGTTCGACAAAGGTATGCCAAGTGCAGATGGAGGGCACCGCTGACCTGGAGCCTTCGCGAAGTCATCGGAGTCTGCCATGAGGTCGGCCTGGGCAGTGCAGTCAGCATAAAGGATAGTCCAAGATAGCAGTGACAGTTGGCTCCGAAGTGGTGTCAGTACAAGTGCGCTGACAGAGACAGCACGTCTTTTGTGAGTCCCACTCGAGAGGCAGCTGGGCACAAAACAACAAGGCTGCATACAGGAAGAGACGGCAGAGAGCTGACAGCTGTCAGGTGCACCTGTAGTGCAAGCTCTGCAGAAAGCTCGTGCCTGGCCACCATAGAACCTGTTGTCTCGTGGCTCAGCTCGGTGGCCTA